GGGTGACCAGGCTGGTGGCGGGGGCAGTTAGGAATGACCAGGCCGGCAGGGAGGGGTCAGTTAGGGGTGACCTGGACGGCAGCTGGGGGCAGTTAGGGGCAACCAGGACAGCGGGGAGGGGTGCAGTTGGGGGCAACAAGGCCAGCAGTGGGGGCATTTGGGGGAGACCAGGTTGGCACGGGGGGCAGTTAGGGGCAACCAGGACAGCGGGGAGGGGTGCAGTTGGGGGCAACAAGGCCAGCAGTGCACTGGGCCTCTAGTATATAATAACATTCCTGAAATATTCTTTAAAAAGTCTTCATATTTACCTTCTATATCTAGGGAGAGTGAGAGAGGAGAAGGGACAAAGAATGATTTTATTTTCTTTCAGGCCAACTTATTTGAAAAACTAATATTATAAGCTACAAAAAGTGAAGGAAACATATTTAATGTGTCCTAGTAGGACTTGTATCTCTTAGTTTAATAGTCTGTACATTTTTGATGCACTGTATTATGGGCAGCAGCATGAAGAATTTAATGTTATATTGCAAAATGTTTGTGATTAGTTTAGATGGGAGGTCAGTGTGATAAAGGAGAAAATCTAACAATTAACTGTGCTGTTTGTTTTGTCAAAATATGCTGCCCAGCTCCAGAGTTTCCGATTTTGGAGAAGCGGAATTGGTTGATACATCTCCACTATATCCGGAACGATTATGAAGCATGCAAGGTGAGAGATTGAAATGATAGGCAGACTTTGGTTAGGCGGCTGACAGTGTCTGTCACACACAGTTTCTATTCCGCTAATAATGTATGAATTGCTGTTTTCCCATACTTGGTGTATTTGTTAGCCTTTGCTATGATAATGCTGCTTTAGAAACAACTTTAATTCCAGTAGTCTCCAACAACAGACGTTTATTTATTGCTCATGGGCCTTCATATTGGCTGTGGGTTGGCTGGGTTTGACTACAAGTTGTGGGTCAGGTTCAGGTATGTTCCATGTGTCTTCTCATTTCAAGTAGAAAGTGGAGCCTGTATTTTGCTCATCAGAGTTTTTTCATATTTTTCTTAGCTTGAATAGATAGGTTTTAGGTAGGGGTTAGCAGAATTTTTCTTTAAGGGACCAGATGGTAAATATTTTAGGCTTTGCAGGCACAAATAGTATCTGTTTTATAAGCTTAATATTCTGTTTGTTTTTTGTTCTTTTTTTTTTTTTGATAACCTTTAAAACTATGAGAGCTGTTCAAAAATAGGCTATGCAGGTTAGATTTGGCCTGTGGGCTATAGTTTGCCAGCCACTATTATAGACTTGTTATAGGTCATAACAAGAGAGTTGAGATTTTTAAAAAATCTAAATTAACTACTTTATTAGTAATTATCCTGGATTCTTACATCTCCTTGTTCATGTCTACCCTTTCTTAAAAATGCTTGAAGGCATTTAATCATTCTTCAGAAGTATTTTTCTTCTTTCAGGCTGTTATCAAAGAACAGCTTCAGGAGACCCAGGGGCTATGTGAATATGCTATCTATGTCCAAGGTAAGACATATATTTCTTTTCTTCTTGTTAGAGGAATGCACACTTTGCCTAGGTTTCTGGAAAAAGAGCAAACAACTTATGCTTAAATTCAAGTGAGTGTGCCGCAAAGGTTTTTTTTCAGTGTTGGTTTTTTATTTTATTTTATTTTTAAATACTGTGCTACATTTGCTTTAATTTATTTTTTATTTTTTTATTTTTATTGATTTCAGAGGGGAAGGGAGAGGGAGAGAGCGATAGAAACATCAATGATGAGAGAGAAACATCGATCAGCTGCCTCCTGCACGCCCCCTACCTGGGAATCTAGCCTTCAACCAAGTCATATGCCCTTGACTGAGTCGAACCCGGAACCCTTTAGTCTGTGGGCCAACGTTCTATCCAATGAGCAAAACGGGTTAGGGCCAGTGTTGGTTTTTTAAATTGGAACATAATTCTTAGGCTAGATTTGACCTCAGAAATGACTGGTTATATTAAAAAAAAAAGTTGCTACTATCCTTCATCCCATTTCTAGTTTCTGCCTAGTGTTTTTCAGAATGGATATTAGGGTTCTTGCTTCTGCAGCAGTTTCAGGCCCAGAAAAGGCTTTGAAAGGGTTCCTTGTAATGAGGCTAAAAGAGATGAGGAAAGCCTTGAGGATTTTTATTAAGGTGAGTCAGGATGAAGTGAAGAAGCCCAGAGATATACAGGATAAAGCAGAGAATAAATGAAATTCATTAGAAATCAGATATGAAAACCATTGCCTGAAATTTTACTCGTTAGTGCCAAAAGTTGCATCCCTAGTTTTCCCATGAACTTTCTTTTTGACCTCTTTTGTATAAGTGAGTTATTTTGTTAACTACTCATTGCCTTTGTGGTCTTCAGATTTGTATATAATTTTTTGGCATAATTGGTAAAATATTGACACATCTAGGACATCATGGCAAAAAAAAAGTTCTTTTATTCCCAATGTCACAAGTTCAGTGCCTGATAATACTTAAGTATGGAAATTCTTTTGTTGTTGTTGTTAATCCTGACCCTAGGATATTTTCTATTGATTTTTAGAGAAAGTAGAAGGGAGGGGGAGAGACACAAAGAGAGAAACACCCATATGAGAGAGACACATTAATTGGTTGTCTCCCGACCAGGGCTAGGGATCGAGTCTACAACCAAGGTACATGTCCTTGACTGGAATTGAACCCGGGACCCTGCAGCCCCCAGGCCAACACCCTAGCCACTAAGCCAAACCAGCTAGGGCAAGCATGGAAATTCTTCTGAAAACTTAGGCCTAGAAAAAAATATTGATTCTGAATGGTTGCTATACTGATAACCAAGTCTGAATATTACTGTATTTTTTTTTTTGCCAGAATCTCCTTGTTGGACATGGGGTATGATTGTCCTTGCCCTATTTGGGGAACTCTCTGAAAACTGAATTATGAATTATGATAAATAGAGCATCTGATAAGGGAGGTTAAGAATGTTTATGTGTAGTTTATCTGGTTATTTGCAAGGCACCGATTATCTGTGTGATAGATACTGGGAGTGGAGAGGGTTAGGTAAGTTTGAGGCACCTTATTAAAAAGGTTTTAGCCTAGCTGTGCCTCTGCGCTGGGTGCACAATGGCGCCAAGGTCCTTTCTCCTGATAGTGCAAACTCTTGATTCCTTCTTCCTGCATCCATTTCCCACTGAGGTCACCCAAGCAACAGAAGCAACAGAAGCAAAAGCAAGGGTGGTAAACAGTCGGAGAGGGCCATGTCTCATCCTCTTCCTGCCCCTCCCTAACTTCCATCCACCACTCACTGTCGCAGAGCTGTAAAAAATGGGCAGTTTGCAGAGGCACAGCTGGAGCCTGCAGGAAGTGGAAGATCTAAATATCTTATATTCAACTAGAGCTGCAAGCTATCTAAAGGAAGGAAACTGCAGTGACTACATTCAAGATTGTAACAGGGCTCTGGAACTTCATTCTCAGTCAAACCTCTTTTTCAACTGAGCAATGGCAATGAAACTTTAGAGAAATATCAGAAAGCTTATGTGAATTATAAAAGTGTTCTGCAAATAGACTGTGGAATCCAGATAGCAAATGATAGTATTAACAGAAGAACAAGAATTTTAATGGATCTGAATGCATCTAGCTGGTGGGAGAAGCTGTCACCCATTGCTTTAGTACCCATTTCTGTGCAGTTGTGAGCTTGGCAACCTGCGGCAGAGATGCCCCCAGACTAAGTGGGAGATTCCTGCAGCCATTACCAGCTGGGCATCACAGATGAAAAAAAGTTTAAAATTCTTAAGAAAGGAAATCAATGTGTAAAGAACAAAAACTATAAAGATGCCCATGGTAAATAACACGAATGATTAAAGATTAACAATAAGGAATGTGCTTTTTATACAAACAGAAGTTGTTACTTGAAGCTGTATCAGTTTGCAGAGGCAAAGCAGGATTGTGATTAGGTGCTTCAGATAATGGGTATGTGAAAGCATGCTGTAGACACGTGCTTGTTCATAAAGGAGTCAAGAATCATCAGAAAAGTTTAAATGATCTCAATAAAGTTCTACTAGACTCAAATATTGAGGCAAAGGTGGAACTAGTAGCCAGATTCCTTAATATTAAGGAGTAGAGGTCCAGTGCACAAAATTTGTGTGTGTGTGGGGGGTCCCTCAGCCTAGCCTGTGTCCTCTTGCAGTCCAGGACCCCTCACTTCTTACTGCCTGCCTACTAGCTGCTCCTTAATGCCGCTGCAGAGGTGGGAGAAGCTCCTGCCATCACTGAGGCACTTGCCAGCCGTGAGCCTGGCTTCTGGCTGAGCAGCGCACCCCCCGTGAGAGTGCACTGACCACCAGGGGTCAGCTCCTGTGTTGAGCATCTGACTCCTGGAGGTCAGTGTGCATCATAGCAACTGATCGTTCTGGTCATTCCACCCTAACGGTCGCTTAGGCTTTTAAAATATAGACTAGGGGCCTGGTGCACAAAATTTGTGCACTGGGGGGTCCCTCAGCCCAGCCTGCCCCCTCTCACATACTGGGAGCCCTCAGGGGATGTCCTAGTGACGGCTTAGGCCCGCTCCCTGCTCCCCTTGGGGAGCGGGCCTAAGCCACAGTCTGGCCTCCCTTTGTGGGAGGTGACCGGGCTGATCAGGGGAAGGCACCAGCCCTATCACCCTGCTGCTGCAGCCACTGCCAGTCATCACAGCCACCAAGGTGTTTTCATCAATACGGACTCCAGTCCCTTCACCATGAAAAAATGACAACTTTCTTTAGGCATTTTCAAGATGTGTCTTTCTTAGGTTATGACATTTCTTTATTATTATTTTTTTTTATCCTCAGCTGAAGATATGTTTCCTTTGATTTTTAGAGAATGTGGAAGAGAAAGGGAAAGACAGAGAGAAACATCAAAGTGAGAGGAACACTTTGATTGGTTGCCTCCTGCATGAGCCCTGACCTGGGCCCCGGCCAGGGAGGAGCCTGCAACCTAGGTACATGCCCTTGGTCATAATTGACCCCAGACCCTGTGGTTGGCAAGCCGAGGCATTATCCACCGAGCAAAACCAGCTAGGGCAGGATATGACATTTCTTAGCCCTCCAGGAGCAGACCTTCATTTTTTTCTCCAGGAGTGTGGTGAAAAACCCTAGATCACCTCTTTGGATTCTTATTACCCAAATTACTAAGAATATTACCAGTGGCATACAGGGAGCTTAGCCAATGAGTGGTCAGAAAAAGTGTTTCCTCTGTAGTTCACACCAATCGCTGGCTTGGTCCCCCTGGCCCAGGCCTGACGCCTCTGGCCCAGGCTTCAGGCCTGGGCAGGGGACCCCCATCTC